GTGTTTCATTTACATTATCAGGTCATGCGATACTCTTTTAAATAATAATGCAATTAATTTTAAAGAAAATCTAAGGCCTATAAGATGGAAATAAATAAATGTTCGATTAGTTTATTTTCAAACTATTTTAAAATTCGATAAAAAATAGAAACTACGCTTTACTATTTTGAAGGATAAAAACCTTGTCAAAGGGATAATTAAGATAACGTTAAGCCAGCGTTTAAGTTCACAATCGATGTTATCGAGTTTTCGATTAATTGAGTTTTGATGTCGCATTGGAACATCATCTTCAGTGCAAAATACAGAAAAACGGCGATAAAAAACATAGCAAGTGAGCAGTGTGAAGTAAATATAATTTAAAACTGAACCAGTCAATTAGAAAGTGGGAGTCAAAACACATGAAATACATCAATAATTCCGCAATTTTTAAGTTCCGATTCTTTATATTTGATTTCCCCTGAAGTTTTTTTGTCAGCTTTTCTTTTGTTCGATACTCATGTATTTTATGTGTTTTGACTCCAACTTTTTTATTGACTAATTCAGTTGTAAATTTTATTAACTGCTTATTGTTATTTGTAATGTTTTTCATCACCGCTATTTTTTTGTATTTCGCACTAAAGATGATGTTCCAAAATAGTATCGGAAATTGTATGCTATTTTGAACTACCGTATAATAATTTATAAATTTTAACATTGGCTTAACGTTATCTTAATTATCTCCTTCAGGAGATTTTTATTCCTCATGATAATAAAGCCTAGTTTCTATTTTTTTAATCTAATTTAAAATTGAAAATAAACTATTTCCGATATTTATTTCAATTTATTCATCTTTATATTATATGCGAACTTTTATTTTTTGTATACGTGAACAAAATACAAAGGAATTCCTTTTTAATCTTATTCTCCCATTTGCAATCTCAAAATTGTAAAAATTTTAATTCTAAAATTTTTTTTTAAATGGAAAATTGAAAATAAGTCCTTTTTTTCTCTAAAAGAACAGCTTTTTTTCTCTTTATATTTTTACACCCATGTGTTTGATAATTATTTATACTTAACTCGGACATAAACTAAAACATAAAAAAATGACTTAAATATTTTATTTGATATTTTTCTTAAATATACTAAAAAATATACTATCAGTTTACTTTTTAAACTTTTTTCGCGCAGGTTTTTAATGTTTTCTCTTTAGAATGTTCAACATATTCTGCAAGTTGACAGTATTTTTATAACAAGAACAAAACTATAAATTGTATCATTTAGATTTTTATGGCACTATTGTGTCTATCAGTGTTTTCACTTCTATCAGTGTCTATCAGTGTTTTTTCGCGAGAACGCGAGAATCTCGCATATTTTTTTCTTTTCTCGCATTAAAAAATGATTAACGCGAGAAGTTCTCGCACTCTATTAATGAATTTCAAAATGAGCGAATCTCACGAATTTCAGAAAAAATTTCGTCTTCCGCTATTTTAAATGAAATCCGTTTCACTTTTCTTCCTTGATCTTTCCTTATTTTCAACATCGGTCCTTGTTATCAAGCTTTCCTATTTACCAGTATTGTTCAGAACCAGTGCGAAAAGCAGAACACAATGCCCCCGTAACCCTTTCAGAACACATTTCTCTGCAACCACGTATTAACCGTAGGTAAGGTTTCTTCATGTAAGACGTTTAAATTTTTTGTGCTTGAATGCAAGATGGACAAATGCCTTGTTAAGGCAACATTTTCTAGTCCGTAACGGACAAATCAAAATGAAACAAATGTCGGTAGGAACGGTCACAACGAAGCAAATACGGATATTCAACGGATACGGATCAAATACTAGCATGAAGTATGAACATGAAAATAACTTCACTATTCTATAACAGAAATAATTGAAAAGCCTATGCTGGCAGGTGAAGAGGATAGGAAAGTGTGTGCACAATGCTACAAATTTTCTTAGTGGTTCCGAATAGTTCAGCATCTGTTGCACCCAAAACCGAATTAAGACAAAATATACTAATAGATTGACTGATAAGCATTTGAGCAACCTAATGAGAATAGCTGATGAAAAAGTAGATATAGAACACTTTCCATATGATAATGCAGCAAAAATATTCAGTGCTTTAAAAATTAGAAGATGTTAAAAATGAAATATTTCTTTTCCAAGTCTATTTGTGTTTTTTTCATTTTTAGAAATCTCACCTAACTTTTTGAAATCTCACCCAGTTTTTGAGAATGGGTGAGAAATTCTCACCCACTTTTTTTTTGTAACGAAAACACTGTAATACCTATCATTTTTCTTCACTTAGCATTTACCGTTCATTTTTTTCAAGTTAAACAGATCTCAAGGTACTATAGTGATCTTTTTTCTTCTTTTATTTTGATTTTCTGTTTAGTTTAGTTTATAAAATCGTGTGATTTCACTATCTTGATTGCTTGATAACATTTAAATTTTTGTTCTGTATAGTTCCGTATTCTGCATAGCCATTAAACGTTGCATTCAATCCAATCCAAGCTTTATAATTAGAAACTGTAATGTGCATCCTGCTGCTTTTTTCAAGATTACTGTGTAAATTTGTACAGTATCAAATAGCCGACTCTAAAAAAGTTTTTTTAATCTACTCTATAGTGCATATAATATAATACTTATAAAAAAAATTACTATTTTTTGTCTTTGCAAAACCATTTCATTAAATGCACCTGTGCCCTTTAACCTTCCTACTATGGTTTGATTTATACCACAGAATTATACAGCGTCCACGGCAGATTTGGTCAAACCATTATTACACTCGGAATCGAAGTACAGCTACGGCTTCCTAATTTGACATAACTTATTATACATGAATAAGCAAGTATCAAACATCATCTACCACACCCGTTTCGAACATCTTGATATCCGTCATCGCGTATTATCCGGAATTGGAGGCTTCCAGACCGAAATCCTTGATTATTTCATTGTTGCGAAATCAGATGCGACGGTATCCCCCGTACCTTGAATACCCGCTATTAAGAAAAATCTAGCAACTCAGGCTCGTCGGTAATTGATTGTAAGGTTGGGCACGAGTCAACATGATAGCCAAAGTTTTTTTTTTTTTACCTGACAGTGTAAGCGGCTTATGGTTTATATATTGCCATGACAGAAAAGATCATCGATTTTGGGAATGAGGAAAGCAAATCTATTTGCATCATTTATTATTGGATTCATTAATAACTGTAGCAAAAGGTATACGAGTATTAAAACAATTTGACGGTATCCAGTTCGGTTGTATGAATTAAATTAAATGAGATCATTTGTAATGGAAAAAAAATGAAAAAGCTGGCTGTAACATTTGCCGCTAGCAGTTCCTTGAACAAATTGTAATCTCATAATTAATTGCTGTTTAAGTAATAATTCCTATTCTATTAAATAAATCGAGACTTGAAAAATTAGATGGCTTTTGTTTGTTCTCCATTTAAATATCTGGAGCATTGTGTGAGTAATGCAATTGACATTTGAACTTATAACCAGCCTATTTCATTGAATATATTAAATATTCTGAACACTACAATATGAATGTTTAACATTCGCCTTTTGTTTTAAAAATAATTTTAATTTTATGGTAGTAAAATAAAATAGTATATTAAGTAGTAAGTATGGTAGTAGAAAGTAGAATCTCAATTACAAAATAGTTGTTGATCGAAAATGGACAACTACAAGCTATGGCTATACTTGGCTAGTAACTTCATGGCTAAGTTGATTGGGTCAATCAGTTATTTGGGAAAGAGACGTATTTATGAAATTAGATGGCTTTTTTTTTTCCATGTAAATATCTTAAGTATTCCCTGAGTAATGAAATGACATTTGAACTTATAAACAACCTATTTCATTGAATACATTAAATATTCTTTTTAAATTACTATTATTCTGTTTAAGGAATTTCTGTCAATTTGCCATAGTTTTCTCATTTTCAATGAATTTATCATTTTCAATCAATGAAATTCAATGATAAAATCGAAACCTCAAATAAAAGCAGTTAAATTGTCATAGACTATCCAAACTGATTTTTCAATGAAAGGGTGATTTAAGTTTTGTAATTAAACCGCGCTATGTTAATTAAAGTTATGTTCGTTAAAGTGCTTTACGCAATTCGTTTTAATGATTGTCATCGTAGAACCAAGTAAAAGTGGAGAAAAAGCATGGTCAAAATTTTTAGACGGTCTTTAGATATTTTTCCTGCTCATGTTTTTCATTCAAATGAGCTATTGACTTGTCAAAATTTGTCAAAATCCAGTCGATCCAACAATTTAAATGTCAATTAATACCGTCATTAGTTCTAATTTTTAAACTAAATCAATTGGTCCCGCAGTGGACTGATCGTTAAGACACAGTTCCCATCAGATCACCGAAGTCAAGTATTGCTGACTGTGGTCAATGTACTGAAGAGTGACCACTTGGATCAGTCTGCGTAGAGACCGAGGGTGTGCGGTATTGATCCTCGTTAAACTGTCCTACCATAAAGTGCTCGACTTCGCTTGCAGGTCGTTGGGCTACCAAAGCGGGGGTGCCATCCCCTCTGCAGAGGATCAAAATCCTGATGGCATGTCTTGGGATCATCCTCAGGGATGTTTCCCAGATCGTCGTCGATAGCCCATTGTGCAGCTCTAGTGCGACGTAAATGAACTACAACTACTAGATCAATTTGGTAAAAATTAAATCTGCTATTCAGCATATTTAAATAAATATTAAAATAAACTTGATTGAAAATTAAATTCGGTTTTCATTTGGATAAGAAAAAACTTTGAGCAATAAAATAATAACCCTCATTCTTAAGCTTCTTAGAAAAGTGTTTTAAGGGAGTTTTTTTATGACAAAAAGTAGGATCTCTGTGTTGGCAATGGGATATTTCTGCGTATTGAACTGTTATTTAGTATAACCTAGTAACTTTTAATATCTCTTTAGAAACCGTGCTTAAGAACTACTTAAGTTTCAAGCCCTTCATGTTATAATTACATTATTTGAATTATATTTTCATTTTCCTTACAGAGTAACCAGTGTTTTGGATTTGGAAGATGATCCAGATGACCAATTCGAAGATGCAATGCAGCTGCTTGAAGCCGATAGCTGTGTTTCATCTTATCATATCATACCGCAGAGTAAAGCTGGATTTAAAGACCCTCCCTCCAAGAAAAGGCCATCTCGTTTTTGGCGAATGATGAAAATTGCTGTCCCTGTGCAATTAGCCTTAGTTTTTCTTTACTGCCTAGCTTGTTGCCTTGAACCAAGCTGTTGTGATATGCTCAACAACTTCAATTTCTCTTTATCTTCTCATTTGCGGTATTGGCGAGGTCCTCCACCGGTTTGAGGAATATTGAAAAAAGTGTTTAATAGGCACAATTGAACTACGTTTAAAACCGTCCAAATTTATCTTTAATTCTTCTTGTTTTTTATTCTTTGTGAATTTTAATTATTAATTTTATTTTCAGTTGTTCCGTTGCATATTTTTATTTCGTTATTTAGTTGCTTTAACAGTTATTCCGATTGTGAAATGAAATTTAACAAATTTATCTAATTTTAGCGATGTTAAAAATGATTTTAAAAAAAACTTAAGTTTATTTCGAGTTCATTTAAGATTAATTTTCGTGCAATAATTTTTGCTTTTATTGTAAATATTCCTTTTTATCACAAAAAAAGAAAAAAAAATCTCTTTCCATCACAAATAAACATTTCATAACACATTTTAGACACATTTAAGATTTTGTTAAAGTTGTCTATTTTTTTTTAATTGTTCAACAAAAATGGAAAATTTAAACCACATGCCATTTAGATTTTTTTAAATATTAGGCCAGATTATTTTCATCATTTAGGGATTGCGAAATAATAGACTATCGCACATTTATGACTGCATATTTCACAACACTTTTAATTTTTCATAGTTGAATGACATGTTTTATTAAAATATATTTCAATATGCATTATTGGCTTCATGTAATGTAACAATAAACTGTTAAAGTGAATATTTTTTTAAAAAAAAATCTTTCACTGCCAACTTTAATTTTAGCAAATTTTAAGTATTTATACAATGTAGGTATCTTAAATTTCCTTCAGTAATTTGTTAAAAAGTATACAAAAAAGGATCGCTTATACCATATTTTTCAGCATATCTATAATTTTTATTCTATTTCACAATATTTTAAGCTTTATCTTTTCCCACGTTCTTAATATATTAATTATTAATATAACATCCTAATTTTTAGAAAAAATTAACAGATTAAGAATTAAGTGACTTGCTTTTTTTATTTAATTTCAATGCCAGTTAACTTTTGAGAAATTTTGAGTGTTTCAAAGCATAGCCAGATCCTTAATATCAGTCAAAAATCGCTCCTCTTTTTACAAAGTAATATTTTTATTGTAACAATGTACAGAAATATGATTATTACAGATATAAATATGGATTTTCTTTAAGAATTAAGTAAGTATTAGGTATTTGTATTTTATGTTTTAAACATTACTTAGTAGCTGCTTATGGTGTTGGAAGTCTGTAGAACTGTTATTTTCGTTTTTAGTTACCCCTATCGCTTACTAACATTGCATTAGATAAGTGAGGTAGATTCTTGTCTGTAGATGCTTTGCTTAATTATTCAAATAATTATTGCAAGAGCATGACAAAATTTTTGAGAAATTGTAATTTTTTTTCAAGCGCATTCCTTTGAATTTTCTTGATTGATAATTATTTTATTACTGTTAAATTTTTTTTCTCAAATTACCGAACTCATTACTTAACTAAGTTTTTTTTTACAATATTTGAATTGCTTTAAATGTTGCAAAATATTTCTTTTAATTAACTATTTTAAGATTTAAAGTATAATTGGTTTGGAATCCACTGTTTATGATAAGAGTATTTTTTTTAAATGTCTCTATGATTTGTATTTAAAAATTACAGTATCACAGCTATTCCTTTTTTCCTTACGAAGTTATTTCTTTTATCCATTTTATTCACCCTTTTTTTTAACAAAAAATATACGTTTGAGTTTTTTTTTAAATAATATATACTTCTTTCAGTTGTTTTAACTTAAAATTTTGATGAATTTTCCTTTACACATATTTAAATTTGTTGAAACACATAATCAAATATTTCGGTTCTGAATTTAATACTATCATATTATTAAAACACTATTTATCTAGATCAAATATTAATCTTTCAATCAAATAGTTATTTATTGTTTAAAACTCTTGATAGATTTTTTTTTAAACACAGTTAATAAAAATGAATTGAAATTTTATTTAGTGAAGCAAATAGTTTTTTTCCTCTGCAGTTTTAAGAAAATTTAGTATTTAAAATGCAGTTTAACTTGTTAATTTCTTAATTTCTAACGTAACAAAGAAGTTCTAACACTTTATAAATATTTGCTTTTATTTAATATTTTATCATGAAAGCCAAGCTTTGATTTTGTTTCAATTTTTTAAGCATAACACATGAAACGCATTTACAAATATTTTAAAATGCGTGCACTATTGATTATATGACGTTCAATTTTAATCCAGCAATTTTCACAACCCTAAAACCATTACAATATATGTGATAATTCATTTTTCCCCTCATGTATAAATTATTACAACATATTAATATCATCAGTTTGAGATACGTTTACTTTCCACGAAATGCGAGAATTTTTTTTTCTATTCATATCTGCACTGTATAGTACTGAAATTCAATGTACAGTCATATTTGAATACTCATCTGATACTGAATTTCTAGTCATTTCATATGTATAAATCACTAAAACATCAAAAAATAAATTCTTATAACGACATTTACTCATACTTAAATGAATTATTTACTAAATACACACATAATGTGCTTTATTTTTGTTTTCGTGGTTATGCTTTGCAAAATATTATATACTTATGTTCATGTCTCATGACAAAGCTTCATTTATATATGTTATATTACATAAAAAATGTTTAACAACATTTTGGTGGTGAGTAAAATATTATAGATTTTATGAGCCATTTCTTGCTTTCATATAAATATTTTACATCCCATATTTTGTATCGTTTATGTTCTAAATAAAGTATTTACAGGAAACATTGCCTCTCTCAATTTTCTGCTTACTAAAATTAGACACTATTTAGTGATAAGTAGACTAATTTTCACTATTCAGGGATAAATAGACAAATTTACGCAATTCAAGGAAATATAGTCCCGCAGTGGACTAATCGTAAAGACACGCGTATCAGTTGAACACAAAAGTCAAGCATCACTTAGCCTAGCCGCTTACTGACCGCAGAATGATCAGCCTGTGTTAGGGACTGAGGGTGCGCGGTATTGGTCCTCGTTAAACTGTTCTACCATAAAGTGCTCGACTTCGCGCAGGTCGTCGGTCTACCAAAACAGGGAAACCATCCCCTCTGCAGAGCATCAAAATTGCGATGCCATGTGATCGGATCATCCTCAGGGATGTTTCCTAGACCGTCGCCAATTCTCCCATTGCGCAGCTCTAGTGCGACGTTAATAAAGTACATATCAAGGAAATATATATTTGTTGTACATATTTTTTGCACGAACGAAAGCTGGAGTATAACAAAATTATTGATACAAATACGACCCCGTGTTAAGACATTGGTTAAGTACACATAACTGTAAACCAATTTATTAATTAACAATCACTTAAAATCTTTAAAATTTTTATTTTGTAAATGCGAGAAAAACTAATGTACAATAAGTTAATTTTGGAAAAATTAAATTTTATATTTTATTAGTATTTTTAAATTATTTTAAAATTTGGATACACGAGCTACCGCTCGTGTAACAAAATTACAAATTTCACCAATACAAATTTCAGAAAAAAATAAACGTAATATCTGTATTACAATTATAATCATCGAACAGAAATTAGTGAATCAAAACATTTTCTGGCACAAATAAGATTCCGTGATAAGAAACGTGACAATTAAACATTTTGGTGTTCTCACTTAACGAGCTAGTTGTCATTGGAAGGCATATTTGAATAATTTTGTAATTGAAGTACGATTAACTATATTCAGCGAAAATAATTAATTTAATATTTGAGACGTACAATTTGAGATACACTTTTTTTTTATACAAACGGAAACAGGTGTATCAAAAAATGTTTTGATGCATATTGTACAAGCGACCCGGAACGTTATAGTTATAAATTTTTGTGTTCTAGTTTTGCAAATTAGCTGCCACTTTCTGTCTTTAAAATTCATCCTAATATTTAATTGAAAAAAAAAATCTATTTGTGGTGCACAATTTTCATAAATGGACAGAAGCTAATATATCAAATCTCTTTTTGATACAAGTTATATCCCGTGATAAGGACTGGTATAATTGCACATTTTCGTGATCTGACTTTATGAATTAGCTGCCACTGATAATTTTTAAAATTCATCCTAATATTTAATAAGGGAAAAAATGAATTCTCTATTTGTGATATACATGAACCTTGGTGAACAAAGAGTATTCTTTGGCCTACGTATTGGTACGTTTGACTTTACGTATTCTTTGGCCAAGACATGAACAGAAACTATGATGCCAAATCACTTTTTAATACAAGTAACATGCCGTGGTAAGGAATGGAGATAATCACACATTTTCGTGTTCTGACTTTACGAATTAACTACCACTGATAATCTTTAAAAGTCATCCTAATATTTAATAAGGGAAAAAATGAATTCTCTATTTGTGATATACATGAACCTTAGCGAACAAAGAGTATTCTTTGGCCTACGTATTGGTACGTTTGACTTTACGTATTCTTTGGCCAAGACATGAGCAGAAACTATGATGCCAAATCACTTTTTAATACAAGTAACATGCCGTGGTAAGGAATGGAGATAATCACACATTTTCGTGTTCTGACTTTACGAATTAACTACCACTGATAATCTTTAAAAGTCATCCTAATATTTAAGTAAGAAAAGTATTCTCTAATTGTTATGTACAATTCGTATCCATTAACAGAAGTCATTATGTCAAAACATTTTTCGATACAAATAATATGAATGGTACTTTAAATTTACGAATTAGCTGCCATTGGCAATAAATCTTAAAAATAATCTTAAAATTACCAATTTTGGAGACTACGAGTAAAATTTAGATAATGTTTACATTAATAAATAGGAAAAAATAAATTTTATAATTATAAGATACAATTTTTATACACTAGCAAAACCTTTTGTATAAAACCTTTTTCGATACAATCTCCTTAATAAGGATCGCGATTTTATTAAAGAATTCGTTCATATTAACACAAATAATAAGTGTACATAATAGTGATTCAAATTAATAATTATTCAAATTATGTTTCCGTAATAAGGGCACAGTGACGAATTAGCAATCACTGATAATCTTTAAAGTTTTAATTTTGTAACAACGAGCATGATTTATGCAATATTTATACATTACAATCAGAGAAAAACAGTCTTGTTTATGATAAACTCTCATTCATGAACTGTACACTGTAAGAAATTCCGGATCGAATTACGGTATAACGTACTGGCACTTAGACTGCATCATCCGTAAAATCCCTTTTACCGTAAAATATTATACCGTAATTTTGCATTGACATTCATTTACTTAGAGTGGTTCCGTGATTTTACTGTTATTATGACTGTAAAAATTACGGCAAATCAGATTTTTTGTTCTGTTACATATTCCAGCAAAAAGTACCGGCACCATGAGCTTGTGTATCAGAACATCATACGAAAATGACCTTTTTTTTTACCCTTTGAGGCAGAACTCTTATTAAACATATTTTTCTTACGTAGTCATTAGTTTGTATCAACTTAGGCTAAAATAAGTAAAAAATACTATACTGAATTTTTTAATTAATACTGCAACATGAAACGCCGGTGTCGTATTTTGTGTTAAGGGTAAAATCTTTTAAACACGGCTCATTTCCAAGCGAATTTTAAAATGTATAGATTATTTATGTCTGAGAGAAACAGTTTTTCATCATTGAAGCTTCTTTACAGATTCAATAATTGATACATTTTTGAATATTAATAAAAATAATTCAAGCTATTTAATTTGAATTTTTTATTTTAATACAAATATAGTTCCGATAATGTAACAAATTTTTTTAGTAACTATTAGACTGCTATTTTTTATAATTACAAGAAATATTTTTTGTTGTAATTAGATCTTCAGAAAAAAAATATAAAAATGAGGCATCGGTACCCAGCGTCCCTTTTATAGGTTAAGAAAGGGCAAAGGGTTAAGAAAAGATAACTAATTTTTTTTCTGACTTTATAAATTAATAGTCACATCTTAGAAATTTTAATTTGTAGAAGAAAGTAAAATAAAAAATACAAGTTTCGCCATTCAAGGAAATATTAAATTCTATATTTGTAACATGCAATTTTTTTACCCAAATGGGAGCTGGGTATTAAAACATATATCGATATAAAAAAAAAGACACCATAATAAGGAGAATGATAATTCCAGCGAGTAAAATTACCATACAATTTATTCCCACGTGGAAGAAAACAAAAATAAATTCCATATTTGTGATATACAATTTTGATACACAAACGGAAGTTGGGACAATTCTATTTTATGATGAATGCGACATTTCAAATGATATATTGAGTTGACCAATTTCTAAAGAAATAGACATCCCAGTTTTTGCTTTCAGTAATTTTTAATCCTTGCGGCCTATTCCTTGAAGAGTGACACTTTTTTTCTTTCTTTTGAAAATCGTTTATTAATCATTTGAAGAGGATTACGTCTGGCAGGTATAGAAAGAAAAGGAAATTAAAACGATAAGCGGTTGGAAAAAAAATTGGTACTGACTACTTTCTTGAAGCCAAGCAATTTTTTTTAAAAAGCAACTTCACTTAACTTTTGTTACCTTGAAATTCGTCTATGTTCTTTTCTTTTTCCTTGTTTCATTTGAGTCTACTATCTTTGACCATATCTGTAACAACTCTTCTTATCAATATTTCATAGATGACACAGGAAATCGGTTATACAACCATTTCTAGAACTTTAAACAGGGTGCGTAGCTTTTTTAAAAAGTGCTTAAAGGTGCTTATTTTCAATTTACGTTTTTTAAAGCCCTTAAAAGTGCTTTTTTTATTCGGGGTTTAAAAAAGTGCTTAATTTTTTATCTTCATAATTTTTTTTTCTCTCTGATGTGTCGATTGTCGTTCTAAATTACAAAAAATGCATGATTTTCACAATTTTCTCGGCAATATTTATCAGAAACTAGTTATTTTATCATGATTATGTAAAGGGTTTGAAAATGCTTTTGAATTTTGTTGATTATATGTTTATAAATTAAGAAAACGATAGAAAGAAATTATTTTTATTGCTGCACACATCCTAATTATGATTTTTCTCTTAAAAAGTTATTAAAAATATTTTTTGAGTGCTTAAAATGTGCTTATTTTCGTTGAAAAATTTGATTACTCACCCTGTTTAAATTTTTGATCCTTCTTTTTTTTGAATTATAAAGGAACATGGTTTTTAATATTCGCAATTTAACAAAGAAATCAGATACTAAAATACTTCCTTTAGCATTTCATAACTCGACCTCTAAACTGAGTAAACATTAAAAAAAGATGGCACCTTTATAACTTTAACTTTTAATCAAATAAATTTTAATAACTTATTAATTTTTAAATTTTGGTACTTTCAAGTATTTAGATACGATTTTAATGATTCAATGAAATAGTTGGTAGTTTAAGTTACTAAATCAGACATGAAAACATACTTTCTTTGTATAAACGTACATTTTTTTGACGTTTTTCGGCACTTAAAATGAAAGAGGTAGATGTAAATTGGAAAATAGTTCAGGTAAATGAGCCGTCAAAAATTTAGGTCTCTGAATATTATTTTTACTTTTTTCAAGCTGAATAGTCCAAAAACATTCGTATCTTTAAACTTTCCTTTTTGGAGAATTATTTAATTAATTTTGTTCAAATTTTGAATAATGTCATTGCCCTGATTTAATAACTTTACTGCACAAATTTAACTCTTGAATAACTATAAAATCTTACTGCAGGAATTCTGTTTCATCTATCGAAAAATTCGATAATACATAACATCTCAAATCTGCA